GAGAAGTCATATTTGCTCTTATTACAGTATGAGAGGGTGCCGCTGACGTCCTGCGTAGTCTACCCCGGCCCCAGCCTAGAGCAAGCCTACTTTCTGAACCTCCACATGGATAACCGAAAAATCTTCCGTGTCAGTAATGACGAAGAAAGAGTGGCAGCACTGATGAGTTTTTTTTATTTTTCAACAATGTCTACGGCCGCAAGGCCTTTAACAACCACCATGATAGAGCGGCTTTTTCTCGGCGTGAGTTTGGAGTGTATCAAAGAAGTTGTTCAAGCGGTACGACGCTGAAAATTTTAGTGTCACAATGCCTGAAACTCTTTTTCTATTGTGGTCATGGTAGATGAACAAATATTGTTATTTGTGTAAAATATTTTGCTTAAATATAGCTGGACCATTCCATGCCAAACGTCCCAGGCACTTTGGCGACCATCTGAATTGTATTTGAAAAAAATGTGCTGACTTACTGCGTTGAAAGCCGTGAACTGCTAGAATATTTAAGCGAGAAAAAAAAGTTTTGTTCACGTGGCTTGCTTATAACTTCCTGGCATAATGCCGTCTGTGTGCTGTTGTGGAAAATTTCGTTTTAAAACTACCGCTTATTTTTTCTAAAGCAAATTCGGTCTACCTGTTAAGTAAATGTGCTTCTGTAAGGTATTTGAAGCTCAATAATAATAGTGCAACTTTTTGGCCACATTCGCTTCCAAGAATAAAGCGTAAATGTGTTATGTTTGCATTTTTTATTGCAATATTGCACTTTGTATGAATATCTGAGCAGTGAATACTTACTCCACAGAAGGTATATTTTGAGAAAAAAATATCCTTAGACCTCTCAAGCTGCTGAAATATACAAGAAAATATCACGAATTTCACAAAATCGTGATTTTTGTCCGTATTGAGATGCCATTTGCTCCATGTTGTGATACAATGAAAACTCATCATTATACCTAAATTGCAAGAAAATGAAATTCTTTCTGTAATAAAAATCTTATCGCAAAAAGGAAAGGAAAGAGCGCTGTCAACTGAATTTTATTGAAGATGCTACGAGCGTTTTTATACTGAGCACAAGACCAGGGCTCATCTGCAACAACCCATGTGTGACCATGACAAAATAATTTTAACCGAGAAAAGAATACTCTTTTTCGGAAAATATAAGTGAAGGTGTACTGATGCATTGATCCTTGGCCTTCCTGATAAAGAGTTCTAAAATCTCTCATTTTTTCTGCTTGCTTTTTTTCAAAAACCGTGTTTTATGAAACCTGGGACTACACTTAGATTCTTTACTGTGTCCGGCCATGAGACTACTATAGCCCTTCTTAACATTTAAAGCATGCTGTCTTGCTTGATCATTGAAGCATTGCCCAGTTTGTCCTATGTTTACTTTTCAACGTGTTAGCGGTATCTCATACACATTAGATTGGCATTCAGTAAATCTATTCTAGTGACGAATGGTGCAAGATTTACTATTCCTGTTGCTGTAAGTACACGCACTTTTGAAAGCTTGCAAGGGGTAGAAAACAACAATGTCATATCTGTTGGCTCTTTTCCTAAAATTGTGAGACACCTTATGTATGTAGTACCGTGTGACATGCAAAGTTCATTGGTCCTTCTGTTTTTTTTTGGTCCTGTTTCCTTTAACTTTACTTTCTGCAGGAGGGTTTCGCAAACAAGTGTGATGATGCTGTTGGGGTATTGGCTGGTGTTATCAGCCCAGGAGGACTCAGAATGTTCTGCCTTTTGATAGTGGGCATCCAAAATTAGTAAAAAGAGGAATTGATACCACATGTATTCAGGCCACCCTTCAGAAGTCATGTTAACACAAGGGTGAGGTCAGGCTTAAAACCAGCATAAAAGACTAAAAGATGCTCGATATACCGACAGAATCATCACACCCGTTTGCAAAACCCTCCTGCAGAAAGTAAAGTTAAAGAAGACAGGACCAACAAAAAAACAATGACCAAAACCTTTGCATGTTATACCACATCACATGTCTTACAATTAAAAAAATAGACAGCAGATATGGTATTAACGTGTTGTTTCCACCCCTTGCAAGCTTTGAAAAGTGTGTGTACTAAACAGCAACAGGAATACTCAATCTTGCACCATTCGTCACGAGGATAGGTTTACTTAATGCCAATTTAACGTTTGTAGAAGTATTTTTTATCAGGTAAACCAATGATCAGTGCTTCACTACATGTCACTTATCCTTTCCGCGAAGGAGTATTCTTTTCTCAGTTAAGATTATTTTGTAGTGGTCACACGTGTCGTCGCGCATGAGCACGGTTCTTATACTCCGTATAAAAGTGCTCGTAGCACATTCAATAAATTCAGTTGACAGTCGGTGCTCTTTCCTGTCCTTTCTGTCTCTTCCTTAAGTTGTCGCGCTGTGACTAGCACACAACCATGATGAACCAACTAGCCCAAATTAAACTCTTGTTACGTAACCCGTAGACCGAGTTTCGTATAGAAAGAAGAAGCGGTGCTTTTAAAATAAACTTTTTCACATACAACACCTAGACGGCATTCCAGAAAGTTCAGAAGGCAGCCACGTGACCAAATATTTTTCCTATCCTAAATATGCCAGAAGTTCACTATTTTCAATGCAGCACGAGTTTTTCGAATATATTTGAGATGGTTGCCAAAATGGCTGGGACATTTGGCATAAAGTGACCCAGCTGTGTCATTAGCAGTAATTATGCATTACCTATTTTGTTTTTTGTGTGTCCTGACTCAGTTTTGTGTTCGGTTTTAGCTTATTCTGTTTCTGATCATTGTATAGGTTTTTTAAGTATTCGGTAAAGTTATATGTGCAAAAACACATATATGTTTGCATGTACATCATTTCTCATAACGAATTGTTATACATCCAGGAATACGAAGCTTACACCACTGTGACTGTATACATTTGAAAACACTATCCGCATATATTTTTGTGTGCATCAATTCTTGGGAACGATTGTGTACATGAAGTGATATAGTGAAATCATGGTGATTGTATCTATTTGAAAGAATCATAAGTATACATTTGCCTGTAGTTCATTCCTATATATTAACCGATTGTGTACATGAAGGAGTATTAAAGTGGAAACCACTTGGATTGTAGATACTTGAAAGAACTATAGGGATATATTAGCGTGTATTTCATTTGTACTCTCTATGTACTTAAAGTAGTATACTAAACTGAAACCAGTGTAATTGTATGTTGCAAAGAATGGTCAATAAAGTGAAACTGAAAAAATATAATAAACATTTGAGGTGTCGCATGTGTAGTGTACGTATACGTGAACATGTTACACATCTGGTGAAGAAGTTGTGTGGCAGAAGAAAAGTTTATGTTTTATTTGCCTATTAAATAAATGCAATATGAAAGGGCAGCAAGGCTTCGTTTTCTGTAACGCGCATTATGCATATACTGTGAAGTATATATAGATCCAGCAAAAGTTCATACACGATTGTTCGTGTTTATATTTTTGCCCACGCGCAATGAATGGAGCTCGACAGGTGGCGCACCCTTGATAATCAGGACCCCTTTCTTCAAGTAGTGTGTAATCAGTGCATGCTGATATTTACTAGTGCTGTCTAAAAGAATACTGGCACCCCTGCATTGGGCACTCAACACACTTGCGCACCCTTCTCGCACCCTCCTTAGAGGGTGCTAAAAAGTGATGGACATCGAAGGCACCCTTTCTTAAGGGTGTTTTTGTAACACCCCACAGTTTTTTTACATGTACACCCTATTATAATGGTGCATGGAAAGGCACCCTTTTTGGAAGGTGCTGAATTAGCACCCTTAGGGTGTCGTCCATGAGACAAGCTCATTTACACCCTTCTGGGTGTAAAAATTATATTTGTGTACGGACACCATGCTACCACTCTAAATGCGTGTATTTTGCTGTAATGTCAATTTATAAAAAAAGAATGCGTAAGAAAAGCGTTCACTTTTTATACAAAGATAGGCATTTCTTAACCGCAATCGCGAATACTCTCAGGCGTTTTTCTCGGCCCATGCAGTTCACTCGAGTGGAGGGAGCATTTCCGAGGCCTCCATTGGCGAAGGGAGTGTGGAGGAGCGTTCATGAAATGCAGCGGCTCCTTGAGTGGAGGAGCACGTTCCGCCTTGACTTCGTCAAGTCGAGGGGAGCCCTTAAGTGAAGGAGCGCTTGTGAATACGGGCCATAAAGTCCGAGTTGGAAGTGCCCTGAGTGCATGAGTCGTCGGTGTAGATATGCGAATGGTGAGCTTAGTGCTCGGCTAAGAAGAGGAGCGTAGTCTGTAGCAGCGCAGTCCGTGACATTCCTCTCTTTGCCCCTTTGATGCCAGCTAGAACTCGTTTTTTATAGTTAGAGGCGAAAGCACCCAGGGAAGAAATGTTCCAGGCATTAATTTTTGTGGCTGACTAATAGAATGAAATGAACCGTTTTCACAGCTTGACCAAATGCAGAATTGCTCTGAGTTAGATTAACTCGGTACAGGAAATGCTTTTTACCTTGTTATATATGTCGAACATGAGTACGCATGGTTTTTTAGGTATATATATATAGATGACTTCTAGCGGGAGACATCCTGCTCCCGCTACAGTTCCCGATGCTGATGAACTCTTCGGAAGCCCCAGATGTATTCGTAGGCCGCTGTTCCGTGCGGCTTCCCGAATTCTCTTATTTTCTGGGGATGTTCGGTCAAGCATCGGCAGAATGGAAAAGGAAAGTTTGACAAGCGTTACGGCATGATCGATAGGTCTGTCATTATTACAAGATTTCTTTTAAAAATACTTCTGGTGGACAGCATGCTACCTCAAATGTGCCTTGGTTTGCTGCGACTTCATTTTGCTTACCTAAGCCTAGGGTAGCAAACCAAAATGAAGCATCGTATTCTAAATTTCAACAGTACGCATCTCTCTGTCTAAACAGTTAGGATTGGTGAGTTTCATTCAAATCGTGCAAAGACACTACTTTTTATGCAGGTTTAACATTGTTGCATCGATTTCATTTGCCACATGGCAGGAACCACCTGAGGCCTTTGGTAACCTGCTTCTCTTGTGCTGCCGCCTGGAACAACATCCCCTCGCCGCCGACCTGCTGGCCGAGCACGCGGCTCTCACGTACAGGTACGGGGCGATTCTGGTCAATTGTGGCGGACGACAAATATTACTGGCAGCTTCTTTTTGAGAAATGTGAGCTATATAATGCTTTTCACGAAGGGCTCACGCTGTTTTTTGTTATCAGCAACTTTTTAAATCAAGTGAAATTATCGCGAGTTGCTGCAATTCTTCCAATGGCAACTATGGTTTTCCTGAATTAGAGTGAAAATTATTCCCCAGACGTCCCATTTTCGCAAACATACTGATCCGGGTGCTTCTTTTTCTATTTTTATGTAACCGGCTCGTTGAGAAGTGTAACCATTACCTTGCGGAAACTTGGACCGAATATCTTGGAAAGTTTCCCAATATTTTCAGCACACTGTAAAAAATGAGGACCCTCCTTCACGGAGAATGCTGAAGGTATAGTGGTGCCGAGCAATTCCGTGAGCAAGAATACAACTCTCTCCTTAAGACTTAGCCTCTTCACGGAAGTCATGCTTCGGCACAGTTAGCGCAGAACCCGTCACACTATTAAGGCAACAGATATTATTCGGTGATGAAATTACGACAATTTTCTTCAAACAAGGTGTCCTTACGTATTCTAAACGTTGTTGCAACTAATACAAAAATGTTTGTATTGTTTCATGCAACAGTCTGTTGTATTGTTCCGCACAACACAATGCCGCACCACAGCTGTGCCATGCAGTCTGCTCGCAAAATATAGCAATGGAGCATTTCATTTATGTTCTGCATACCTGTGAATGTGAGTTATTTGTGTTGTTTGACGGAGAGTTTTGTTGGCTGGACATGCTGGTAATTTAGTTTCTGGGCGCACCTTCATCTGCAAATGAACATAGGGTTCATAGAATGATTACAACGTATTATATGTTTTGCACAGGTTGCATGATTTTGCAGAATGAATGCCGTTATATATGGCAAGCTTCCTAATGTACCAGTTTCTTATGCACAAAACACCAAATTAAACAGGAGTCCATTTGAACAAAACTCTACACAGAGAACACAAGAATGGAGTGTGCAGCAAACAAAGGCACAAACAGCACATGACATGCTTATAGCGCTAATCGCGGCACTGAAATGACGAAGTTGGGACAGGCCGAACATACACAAGCCTGTCCCATCTTTGTGATTTGAAGTGCTACGCTGAACTTTATGAAAATGTTACACCAACAGAGCCAAACGTTTTCCCGTGCTAAGTTCACATTACATCTTCCTTTTCCCCTATTTGCAGATTTCTTTTTGTTGAGCCAATCTGTACGTAAAAAGATGTTTAAAACTATGTGTGAAATAATGAGTGTAAAAGTTTACTTGGACTTGCATTTAGTAAAGATGCATAGAAGTGTTCCCACCTAAGCAGATGGCAGCAGCAGCATATGTTGACAATAAGCCAGTGAAGGCTGACCAGTTCTTTAGCAATATACCTCCTCATGAACATGTTGTTCTTGGAAGTTAATGGTTGACAACAAATAAACCAATATTCCAAGTCCCCCCCCCCCCGATCTGTCTTCAAGCCACTTTAAAGCACTGTCTATATAGAAGCTGCGCCTTATTGTCCAGCAGTTAAACTAATCTTAGAACAAGCTGCACTGGTGCAGCTTGTTCCAAGACTGCAGCCTTTTAACCTCTGAACTCTTTCTGCCCATTTTGCCAATATGAGTGGCGTTGCAATACCTCAGTGTACTTTGTAGAAGACCTTCCTCGGATCATGCGCAGGTGTGCGGTCCGTGAACGTATATCCCAAGGTATACCAAAAAGCACTGAAAATTTGAGTGAGGTCATCGGTAAAGCATAAAGCAAAAAGTGCGACGTAACTTCCATGGGCAAAACAAATGAAAAATGGTCACCGAAACCTAAAGAACGTAAAGAGAGTGTTGGTTAAGTTTTCGATGCAACATGTTCTGACACAGAGCTTGTTGAACGCTGCTGAGTGATAAGACATAGCTGCAGCCTGAACAATTTGACTATGCCACCTCGTGTACAAATGTGAGAAAACAGAGAACTTCTGGAGTCGCAGTCTATTTGTTACAATGTATCAGCTTCCAACGACCCCGGCCTTTTATCTATAAATGTTTACCAGAAAATATGTGACCAGTGGACTGGTTGAACTTTGCACACTTATTGCCAGCATATACTGAGAACGCTACCTGCTTAGATGGCAAAGCTTTCATGTCATTTTCTTATTAACTGCTGTGCAAGGTCAGAGTAAAAAATTTACAGTTAAGCCACAAATCCAAAGTGTATGGGGGGGTAGTTTGTGTGTATGCACTGTGCTGCGTTATCTTGAAGATGTGTGAGTCATACTTGCTGCAGCATGCAAAATGAACAATGAAATGCATGACTACACGCTTCTTTAAACATAACATTGGCAGATGTATTCACAAACATAATTCTCTAAAGTGCTTAAAGCCCGCTTATAAAACTGTTTTCATGGCCCATGAACAGCTCCACTTGGCTCCTTTCTGTATGCCTGAAAAGGAAGTACGAAAAATAACTATTGCAACAGCAGCAATGTTAAAAGTTTAAAGCACTACGGTGTCTACTCCATCGATCCCCTCTGGTCACACAACTATTTCCTGAATCACAAAAGCAGACGGTATTTCTGGACAAGAACAACTCACATGCAGAACAAGCAGCAGGTTGCTACGAAGACCTATTGCTATGGAAGACAAGAACTCAACGTTAAACGCACTCTATTCTAACTGCAAAAGTATTCACCGACTAGCATAACAAATTCCATTAAATGAGTGCCATGGTGTAGCAGTTACAATTTCTGTACCTACTAACACAATGGAGAGTTAATTTGGCATTATAATATGAAATCTTATACAAGACAAAGCATACTGTTGATTGATATGTGGGGTTCAACGTCCCAAAACCGCCATATGATTATGAGAGACGCCGTAGTGGAGGGCTCCAGAAATTTCGACCACCTGGAGTTCTTTACATACACCCAAATCTGAGCTATCGTGCCTATAACATATCTGCCTCCATAAGCAGCATATTGCCGACCATTGCAAAGGCCTACGTGCGGCATGCAATATATTGTAACGGCACCTTTGGAGCGAGAAACAGAAGCGGTGAGATAAGAAGATTAGGACTTCGTTGTCGTTTCCGTAGCCTTAACCCACTCAACACTCTGTCACTGCGCGTGACAGAGTGCTGGATGGGTACACAACATCTTAATCATAACACCATGGTGGAGGTATTAGCCTGATGAAGAGAATGAATAATGCATCAACAAAAGAGTGAGCAATAAATTAAGAAGCAAGGCTTGCATATATAGTTTTTTTAAATCCAATAAACATTACATGACAGTTGTAGATCTCATCATGGCAGGAGCTAACTTAAAGATGGGGGCTTGAATGAGTGTCATCGCTAAGTTAGGTATGTTGTTGGAGCCAATGTTTGATTAAGAAAATTTGTTTAAGTTGTGGCAGCAACCTTGAGGTAGTTTGCTGCCTCGGCAAAGAAAAGTTCTGTTGTTGAATAACAAGCTCTTACATTAGTTCAATAATATTTTTTCATCAGGTCTACATCTCCACACATTCATTACAAATCCTCAACTTTAATAAACGCTTCTATTGTAATGATACTGAATGCAAAACCTAATTTGCAGAGAACAAGGCATTCAGCAAGGGTCTGGCTGCTCAACAGTTTTATAAAACTATCTCCAAGATTCTAAAAAAGAGCGATTCGAGAACAGGCCATCTATTTATCAGAGCAGCAAACCGTATCAAAGTTACTGCCACGACTTAGGCAAACAATTTTTGTTCAAACATTCAAAACCAACTAATTTTCAAAATTTTAGATTGGCTCCAAAAAACTTTCTTTAATTATTTGACTCTCAGTAAAGCCCCCCCTCCTATTATCATCATCATCTTAACTTCTGCCATAATAAGACAAATGTCATGTAGTGTTTGATAGAATTTTAGGATATGGACAGTAAGCCTTTCTTCCTAATTCGATGCTCACCCTTTACGTTTATGCTCTAATAATTGTATTATCAGCCAAAGAACCCAGAGTAAAGTTGTGTGAAGGCGTCTTCAATTTTTAGAGTCAGAAGTATTTTTAACTCTTGGTAAATGCCCTTAAAAGAAGCAATGTATTTTATTCTACAAGAAAAAATCACTCTTGTAAAAATAAACAAAGGACACTGCATTTTGCCATGTTTGATTTGATTGAGATGTGGGGTTTACAACCACCATATGATTATGAGAGACGCCGTAGTGGAGGGCTACAAAAATGTCGACCACCTACAACATTTGCGCCTCCATTGGAATAGCAGCCGCTGCAGCCGGGTCTCAATCCCGTGACCTGCGGGTCATGGGCGAGTACCATTTTGCCATGTTTCCTCACGACTAACATTGACATATATTCAAACAAAAATAATTTTTATACCATAGCCATGAAATTTTGCTGACAAAGAAACAAAGACTGTCGTAAAATCATGAAGTAACAATGATGTGTCAGTTATTTTTCTCCCATAACTCCATTTCTGAGCAATTGGTTTAAAAGGCCTCTGCTGTAATAGAAAGTTTTTCCTCAAAAATAGTGCTGGAACAACGTCTTTCCACATTGAGGAATCAAAACACCAGTTTTGAAAAATATTTCAAGTGTCAAGAAACCACTTCACAGACTAACATGACAAGACCATAAACTCACAAATACTTACAAGTTAATGCCCAGTCACGGTTTCTGAGGCAGCCTGATGGCTTCTGTGTGTTCATCTGTACTGCCTTCCGTCCGCATTTGGGCCAGTTTTTGTAGAATGTCTGCTGATACAACAAAAAAAAAAAACATTAGAAACATTTCACTCTTTCTAGCATGCACTATGTAACACAACTTGACTTTCTCGGCCTCATGAGGCAGCAGTCTCGAAATCATGCTAACAGCTGCTGCCTTATGTATGTATATCTCATACCCCACTAGCAGGCTCCAAATTAATGCCCAGTCATTGTTAAGCAAGACGTCTAACAGAAGAAAATACCACAATTTTCACTACACATATA